TCATGCTGGGCTGGGTCGAAGCACTGCACACACATGCAGCTCGAGTCCGACAAACCGCACGTGCGGCAGCGGTAGGCGATGTGGTCGCCGTTCCAGACCTCTTCGCACTTGGAGCGACTGGCTTGCCCATACAAGTTGGCGCGCGTCGCAAGGAATGTCTCGAAGCTTGCGGTGCCTCCGACCAAGATGCACTCGAGGAGCCGCAGCGTCGCGTCGACGCCATCGTCCGGCAGATTGCGCAGCAGCGAGGCGAGATAAGTCGGGAGCTCTGGGTTGGCGTACGAGGTGCTTCTCTGCAGCATTTCGATGCATCTTCCGGGGTCGTGCTGCCATTCCCCAGACCATCGAGGTGTGGGAATTGCCGTGCGTCCATTTTGTCGCCGATATCTTCACGGCCGTAAGCTCGATAACGGTTCCAGGCGACGAGAAAGAGCCCAAATCAATCTCATTTCGTTAATCTCTACTAATGCTTTGTATACACCAGGGATGTAAACGTTAAGAACACTTTCAAAGCGTGAACACGCTGTATTACTCCATCCTTCCTAATAAAATAGAACGATCTCCTGTTTTTAAACTTGACCGGCGGCGCATCCAGGGCAACATGGGCGACCCTTCGGCAGGTTGGTTGGGCTCGAATCGCAATAGCACCCCGTGTTTCCCAATGCAACATTGGTTGTGCGAGCTAGCGTCAGCGAGGAGCCCTCTACTATGCCAACTACGAGAAGATACTACAACTGTAAATACAAGTGCAGATGACTTCTCTCCCCAGAATATCATGGCTGAGAAGCTCTAGATTGATCGAGTCCTCGGTGAGCAGTGCACGCGCTACAATGCAGCGCGTGCACACTGTATTTGATTTCTAAAGCCGCCTTGTGGCGTGCCGATGTTGGTCTCGAAAGGGCTGTACGACTTGCCGTCGATGCGCAGCCGGAGCGTTGTGGTCGTGAGCAGCATGCGAACCAGGCGCACTGTGTCGTCGTAGAGGAAGCCGCGAAGCGCCGTGAGAAGTCGATACCCAGAATAGAGAACTGCTCTTCATGCTGGCGGATCCGGGTGACACGTCACTTTGCGACCACACCACGACTGCCGTGCTGCGTCCAGAGTGAAAGCCGCTCTGATACGCGCCAATGTACTTATCGAGCTTCGGCTCGATCCGCTTGAGCACCATCACAGAGACGGCTTTGCGGATGCAAGACGATCGGGCGGAGGCTCGAGCACACGCCTTGGGGCTTGTTGGGCTTGGGCAGGTAGATCAGCGTCCCGTCACCAACCTGGATTGGTTGTCCTTTGGTTAAATCGTCGTTGAAGCTGCTTGGTGAGGGGCGCGGCGACGAGGTCGGCGGCGGCCTTGAAAACTTCGGGCGGCATGGTGTTTGGGCCGCAGGCGCGGTTGTCGCGGAGCTTCTTGTTCGCGTCGTGGATTCGTCGGGCGTAATGGGCTGGTCGAGTGGTCGGGCTGTACGGTGGCGTTGGTCGGGCTGGCAAACTGGGCCTGGAAGTGAGCGGTCACATGCGTGGCTGTCTCCTTCGTGTTCATGATGATGTGGCCGTGCTGGTCCTTGAGGCGAAATTCGGGCGTCGGGCGCCGGAGTGTGGCCTTGACGGCTGCGAACATCTGCTAGGTAGGGCTTAAGTCTTCGATCTCACTGACGAGGGCGTCTGCTTCAGCGTTGGCAAGGTCGTGGCAGCGCATGCGAATCCTATGCATGACTAGGTTGCGTTCGATGCGGAGGTCTCGGGTAGCGGCGGGGTCGTCGGTCTTCGTGTTGTTGATGCGTAGGCGCAGCAGCGCCTTCTGGTCACGAGCCAGAGACGCCATGATTGCGTCGTCGTACCTGTAGCGGCTCTTGGTCTCAATGTGGTCGAGCGTCGTGCCGGCGGCAGCTACCAAGGCGGCGAGAAGCTCGCGCCATGATGTGCCGGTATCATAATATGATACCGGTACTGTTCATATTATGAGCATGCAAACACAAAGCAAGTAGGTACTGTACAATTCGAAGGACAGTACAAGAAGCAGTGTACTCGTACAATGCTCGATATGAACAGATATGGTGACAAGGGTTTGTCGTGGACCACGCTTCTCCAATGCTGCTCGATAATGAACCTCTGAAGAGTTTGACAACGAGACACACATGTACCACCAATAGGGGCGTTAAGGGCGTCAAGGGCTCGCGACATCGGACACCGACTGTCAGCCACCGCACAAATACAGGTGTATATGAGTGCACAAGTAACCGCAGGCGCGCAACCAAAGTTGAGTGTATTTCCACGGCCGTGATTCGCATTAAAAGAGCGACGGCGCTGCACTAGATGTTGCGGGGGTTGTCGCGGCCACTACGACAGTGAATCGAATTGATGAGCTGAGGAAGCTGTCGTTTTGATTGTACCTTCGTCCTTCGCGTCCAAGTAGGCGCTCTAAAGTATGATGCGTTAGATACATGGTTTGAAGTTGGTACCGTACCCACAGCACTTGACGCTTATGTTTGTCTTGCAACAGGCGCACGACATCCTGAATCACGAGGTCAGACTCTCGGGGTATGTGCAACTTTGCATACCGGGTACAGAGTCACACGCTGTTGGGCGTTAAAGGCCTGGGCCATGAACGTGATGAACGCACCGTCTTCCATCTTGCTTTGGCCAAAACTCCTTGCATTTGACCTTGAAATCGGCGACAAACTCGAGGCCAGCGATAGACTCGATAGACGCGAGGACACGCTGGTACACCACCTGGACCTCGCTGCCCTGAACCGCCGACGGCATCGGCTCACGCATGTGCAACTTGGCGCGGATAGAAACTCTGTCT